AAACATCGACCAGACTACACAGGGCAACAACCCAGAAGACAGAAATCTTCATACTCTGATGACGGAGGCAGTATGACCTCTGAAGCGTTGGTAAACATCGACCAGACTACACAGGGCAACAACCCAGAAGACAGAAATCTTCATACTCTGATGACGGAGGCAGTATGACCTCTGAAGCGTTGGTAAACATCGACCAGACTACACAGGGCAACAACCCAGAAGACAGAAATCTTCATACTCTGATGACGGAGGCAGTATGACCTCTGAAACGTTGGTAAACATCGACCAGACTATCGGTGTTTCCATGGACTACAAATCTCCGTCAAAACACATCACTCATTACAACTTTAGCTTCTTCCTGTGAAATCAGGAGCTGGTTTTCACACAGTGGGCCGCGCGCTTTGCTGTGCGCCGCAGCGTGACGGTTCCGGGCTAAATCTTCCGTGTAGATGGATTACACCCACACGTGTGTGTGGGTTTAGGACACACTGGACAGACAAATAGAGGGACAAACGGAAAGAAATGAATAAGAGTGAGAAGAAGTAAGTGTTATAGATCATGGTTTTCACCCTGAAGCTGGAGGAAATATATTTCTCCGAAACGTTAGTAAACAGCCAAAATTATTTAAGGTGCAACAACCCAGAAGTTTACCATCGGTAATCTGAGCAGTAAAATTTTTTAAAAATTATATTAAAGACAAGTTTTAGTAACACGTGCCACTTACCGGGAAGATCTTAAAAATTACCCTTTTTGTTTATAACTTAATAATCTCTGTATTACAGCGCACGAGGTTCATCATCGAGTGCAGACCAACGCTGGGACCCATTCAACTTTATCAGTGATACTTTCTTCGTGGACATACAAAGTTTCTCCAGAAAAATACCAGAATAGTGCCTCCAACACTTACCGGGGGGCGAAGTAACCCAAAACCGAAGCTAACTGATCTCGCCATCTAGTTCATTAGTCAAGGATTCGAGCTATACATTTGCTCTTCGATACTTCTTCAAGGAGTGCTGATGAATTTAACACATTAGAACTTTCACAGAGATTCAAATAATTTTTTTTTTTTTTGGTTTGATTGTTTGCTGACTTAACAGAACAAAGATCAATTACAAAATAAACACAGGTTAGATACAATAAAAAAGAAGAAAAAGGACAAAGCAAATATACACAAGAAATAAAAGACTAAGTCAGAGCGATGTAATTATATCATTTAAATCACAATTGTTCCAACTACACAAATAGATATTGGCAGTAAAACAATTAGAAAAATGTATACTATTATATTAATTAAAATTAATATATAAACCGCCACGGTGGTCTAGCGGTTAGAACGCTGGCCTTGTAATCCTGGGGTCCCGGGTTCGATTCCCGGCGGTGCCCGAATTTATAACTTGTGTTGGGCAAGGCCGTGGTCTAGGCAACACGGAGTTTTCCTCCGCGGGCTTCCCCGGTTTCTCCGTGGCATCCCAACAATTACTCCATTCACACACAGAAGAAGGCAATGGCAAACCACTTCTGGATCATCTGCCAAGAACGTATATGAACAGGTCCCAGTCCGAGAAAAGGATGGAAGGATCCTGTTCATATGGACCTGTCGTCAGACAGAACACTAAAATAATAAATAATAATAAATATATAATACATTGTGATATAATAGTATCAAAAATAATAATAATTAAATTAAAACGAGGCCAATTACATCTCAGCATTAAAACAGTATAAACATAATCTATCATAATAACATTTACAAATGGCTTAAGAGACCAAGAAATAACATTCGAAAGATAAGAAACGAATTCTAAATGTACGATATGAAAGTTACAAAGTTTAGACAAAGAAAATTTGAAATCATTGAAAAAGGAGAACAATTGAGCAGAATCCAAAGAGACAGAATTACCAAACTATTCAACAATTACGAAACGCATGGATCAAGGAATCGAGGATGAATCAAAGAGACTTCCTGACGACTAAAGCCAGAACAAGTAAACAAGCGAATTGACCGTTTGAACGATAATCATCACGCGACAAAAGAAAGAATTATGAAATTCAATGTCCTTACGAAGAGGAACACAAGCTTAAACCACAGGTTTTGACTTGAAAATCCGAAAACGTAGACCAATTTTAGTCATTAGTTTCCGTTAGAATGTCCAGGAATTGACAGCGAAACTTTCCCGTTCGCCACGGTTATGACTGTCAAAGGAAGCCGATGGGGGCGCAGAGGAGACCTGCTTTGAAGACTCCGAACACGTCGATCGGAATTTGAACCAAATGTCGCTGGAACTTACGACGCCCCGAGAACTGCGCAAACTATTTCAAGCTTCAGGGTGGGCCCATATTCCTTTGTTTTTGGCCTTGTTTACTGAAAGACGTCCTATTTGTGCATTCATGCGCACCTGTGAAAAATCCAGGCAAGGCCGTAGGAGTGTACACGGATGAATTATTTCAACGATGACAAAATTTCATAAGAAGAGCTTCATAAATTTAATTCTTTCCAGATTATTATTCGGGTGATGAAATCAAGGAGGATGAGCTGGGAGAGGTGTGTGGGACACGAATGGATAACATGATGAATGAGAAATTTATCGGAAATTAAGGGGAGGAAGCAACTTAAGATGCCTAGGGGAATGTGGGAGCATAATATTAAACGGATCTTGCAGAAATTGGGTATGTTGTTGGCTCAGGATAGGGTCCAGTGGCTGGTTCTTGTCATAATGAAATTTCGGTTCCATAAAATTCAGGGTATTAACATTTCTTAACTTTTCGCAGAAGATTAGAATTATCTTCATGCAGGTTTCCACAATATTTTGAGTACACGTGGTCAACACTGTTGAGCAGACTGATATATATATATATATATAGAGAGAGAGAGAGAGAGAGAGAGAGGAGGGCAGAGGCTATACTGAGTCTACAGCAGGCTGTCTGTGCCTGACCAAGACGTAAATGGGAGGATATTAAAATAGAATTTAAGTAAGTAGGGTGCCATGATGTGGAGGACTCTTACGATCATGGTAATGAACCTTCGGATTTTATAAAACGCAACGACTTTCTTGACTAGCTGAGTGACTATCAGCTTAATAGTACCTACTCTGGTCCTCCTATCCAATGGGTACCCGGATCCATTCCCGGGGATAAAGCGAGGCCGGGGCATGACGCTGACCTCTCACCCCTATCCATATCCGAGGTTAAGAATAAGTAGGAGCTATACCACCTCTCCCCTCAAGCGACTACAAGGCGTATAGTAGGACAGCTTTACTTTTTACTCTGGTATATGTAGTTTGTTGGTTAGGGAGATATTCATAAAATGGATCTGCATAGCCTGAGACATTGGCACAAAGCTAATTTCAAGAAAATCACTTCTATAATTGTACTGAATCAATTACATGAGTTGTGCAGTCTCGATACCAATACGAGGTTAAATTGTGTGTGTGTAAGTTACGTCATTAGTTACCAGTGTCTCCTTCCTGATAACAGTGGACTCTCAGTGCCACCTATGGGTAACATTTTAAAGCGTGTGATTAGTTGCCACCTGCCGTTACAAAGTCGAGATCATAGATTCAACAAAGAAATATTCAACACGCAAAGAAACACAATAATATAATTATTATTAATAAATTCTGTTAAAACGTTTATATTTTACAGCACAAAGAGGAAAGGCAGAAAGTAGCTAACGACACTAACCCCCCCCCCTCCCAAAAAAAGAGACGTGCGGGGCACGCATTTTTAAGCTCACAAAAGAATTTTAGATCTATGTCTACGAGATGATAATTTTATTTTTTATTTATAGTGTTCTGTCTGACGACAGGTCCATATGAACAGGATCCTTCCATCCTTTTCTCGGACTGGGACCTGTTCATATACGTTCTTGGCAGATGATCCAGAAGTGGTTTGCCATTGCCTTCTTCTGTGTGTGAATGGAGTAATTGTTGGGATGCCCCGGAGGAAAACTCCGTGTTGCCTAGACCACGGCCTTGCCCAACACAAGTTATAAATTCGGGCACCGCCGGAAATCGAACCCGAGACCCCAGGATTACAAGGCCAGCGTTCTGACCGCTAGACCACCGTGGCATGAGATGATAATAAGTTGTTTTAATTGTACAATACAAATAATTTACAGAATTTATTCAATCCAAATTCCACTACGAAAATAATTTCTGTAATATGGAACGTCACAGACCAATGGTTAGCTTTTCTTCTTCATATTCCGAAAATCCCTGATTCAAAACTCTGTCCTGAAATTCTTTTAACCTGACAGAGGTTTTTCGTGGTTTCCTACAGTCCCTACATGCAAATGCCAGACAGTACCTTAAATTAGGCCACGACCACTTCCTTCCATATCATTCCCAATCCATTAGGCCTACTCATTAATCATCACCGAATCATCCGATGATATTTTGTTAAAGAAACCACAGATAAAATTTTAGAAGCAAACAATCCAGAGATCACGCAATGAGTACGAACGCTAGCGTACTCTCTTGATGACTGCCTCAACTTCAGTTTCCACCCCGCTCCGAGTAGTCGCCACTGTTTTACTCCCGCGCACAAGATTAAAATAACTTAAGATCCTTAAAGGGGAGGGTTCACATCCTTCCACTGCCAAAATCACACCGCCAATCAGAGTCTTGTATTCTACACGGGAGGAGCATCCGACAATTTTCATTGGTCGGGCATCTCCAAAGTCCATACGCTCATTGGACAGTCGTCACCAAGAGAATATCAGACGCAATTCTCCTCCGCGCCTGTAATCAATGCAACGCCCTGAGTAATGTTTTTTTTTATATATAATCTCGTCAATTTTTTTTTCTCCCCACTCTGTACGACGCGAGACGGTATTCTAAATGAAGAACTGCGCTTAAGATGTTTTTTTGTGTCCAAGGACCATGTTCTGAAGACATGGTCCCTTGTCCCCCACCCCCCCCCC